CTTTTTAAAGTATTTAAATTGGGGTAAAGCAGTTTTTTGATAGTATGACATAAATTTTAATGGTGATTTACTATATCAATAGGCCTATAGATCTCTTTATGATACTATAAAAAAAACATTGTAATAGTAGCAATCAGTATGCGCACCTATTACCTTTTCCTTTTAGATGTTAGGATGTTTTATTGCAAAATTGTATAAATCATAAATTCTAATGTTTTTATAAGTAACAAGATGCAACATAATGTCCTTATATTACTTTAATGAATTCTGAATATTTTCCTGTTTTTATTTAATTTTAATGCATTTAATGCCCATTCATCAAATTATATTAATTTATTTAGTCGCTTTGCTTTACCTTACAATTAAGAACTTTTTGTCGTCAGTAGAATGTTTTTTGTTTCTAGGACTTAATTCTGTTATACCGAAATGCTTACACATAACTACATCAGTGTTTTAGCCTTAGTGTAAATTATTAAACACACATCTTATTATTATTATTTTTTTCAGAGGGCCAGGCTTAAAAGTTACCATGGGATTGCATCGCAGCTAGAACAGCTTATTGTGCACCCTCGTTCACAGGTCCTCATTCTCCGTCAAATCCCATGTCCTTGGTGAACCGTGAGAGCCTTTTGACTATGGTAACCTGTTCTTCCCTTTGATCTCCCATCAATAGGCCAAGGGATCTCATACAGAGACCTTGTAGGGCTGGGCACATAAATATACCTTCACAGCTTTCACAAGGTCTCTGGCTGGTGCAAGCCGTAGCCAGATTTCCCTGAAAGGACTCAGCTCCTGAACTTGCTTGACCAGCCAATCCTTTGTGGCTGCGTCAGCACAGCCTCCACGTTTCTTCCTGGAAGCTTCATTAGAGTCAGCTTTGGGGGTACCACCCTTGCCCTGCTTTCTCCCAGCATCCTAGTTCCCGGAGGAACTGGCTTTGCAGGCAGCAGAGAATTAGGGTGCTTGGCAGCCCACACCAGCCTCCTCTCACTTCTGGATAGCACCTTTTCGTCTTTGGCTAAAGCATCCGCTATCCTCCGTCTTTGCAACTCACCCCTGGAAAGTCGTTTTTCGTACGAGGGATCTCATACGCAGACCTTGTAGGGCTGGGCACATAAATATACCTTCACAGCTTTCCCAGCATCCTAGTTCCCGGAGGAACTGGCTTTGTAGGGAGCAGAGTTTGCAGGGAGGCTGGGGTGCTTAGCAGCCCACACCAGCATCCTCTCACTTCTGGGTAGCACCTTTTGCCTTTGGCTAAAGCATCCGCTATCCTCCATCTTTGCAACTCACCCCTGGAAAGTCGTTTTTCGTTCCTTTCCGGTTTCTGCGAGCTTGTCGTCATCGTCAGATTTCAGTAGACCTTCCTCCTCCATTTGGGTCAGATTGTCTACATTGTTCTCACGAATACCGGTTATCTAAGTCCACCTCCCCAGTGACCCGATTAGAGAGGTAAGGGGTGCGTACTACTGGGTTACCCCTGGTTCCCAGAAGGCTCCGTTAAGATACTGAATATTAGGCCCCCAGTGCCACAAGACTCTTGGCACGGATCGCATTACACCTTAGTCTAGGGCTCTTGGCACGGATCGCATTACACCTTAGTCTAGGGCCCCCTAACTTGGTTCTGTAAGGGGACCAACACCCAGTGGCAGAAGGTAGCTCCCCGCAGCTAACAAGTGAGAGTTGGGGTTTAGGTTGTGGCCAATCTGCCGAACCAACCCCGCATGCCGAACCAACACATCTTATTGATATCCTCCGTATAAAAGATAAGATGCAAAGCAATAATAAGAACCAATTCTACAACCATTTTATTGTGCTACAAAAGTGTAGATTACTCTATTTTTGGTAGTACTATTATTTAATAAATTACTTCTGGCTTTATATTTTTCATGTTTTTTACATGTTTCCTCCACTAACATGAGCTAAGTTATAACAAATTAGCTCTAATTTTAATAGACTTGTTAATCACAACTGCATTAAACAACGTATGTCAATGATTCAACAACCAAAAGAACTGTTATAAAATAAAAACTGCTAAATGATGTTGGATACAACCCCCTTCGTGCCAGGTCATAAATATGAAAAGGCGTTTAAGCAGAGAAATCTCAAGAGGAACATTAAGCTAATTACCTGATGCTAGATAAGCAAGAGGCATTATATCTAATAAACACCTTTGTATAATGCATTGTACGCTGAATAAACAAATAACCTGCCTCAGCAATCCTGCAGACTTAGCAAATTTCTATTTGCTTGATTGGATTTTATTTGAATATTACTTCAAAGTTTTCACACCTGTCCAAATAGCATCGAGTTTGATGAAAGCTTAAGTATATTCCTAAGGACAATGTAATATAGTATATTTTTGTGATATGTTAACAGCTCAGAATTAAATAAATACTTTGAAAAATGTTAAATTTACGGGTTTTTAGTAATTTTCTTAGTAAATATTTAGTGGAAACAATGCTTCAAACATACTCAATTATTTGTCTTTAAGCCAAATAAAATGGTTAATGAGGAAATTGCTAAGTTTAGATTTTTATAGGGAAACCACCAATTTTACTCAATAAAATCATAGTCCATAATCCAATCGCACCGATTCACGAGCCCCCTTAAAAAAAAGTTTTGGTACCAAAAATACCCCTTAAATAAACTCTTTAAAAACGTTTGTACCAAAAATACAAAAAAATCTGCCAATTTTCACTTTAGTTGCCGTCCTAACAGTCAAAGACGTGAATTTGAACTAATGGTGTTTTTGCTTTCAGTGGACCTCAAAGTAATAAAGTAAAAAGTAAATTTCTCCCGGGGCTAAGGCTTACCATAAGACATAGGCTACTGTAAGCCTATAGGAAAATGTTGTTTTGCTTTGCAAAATATTTTATTTCGAGGTGTTATATTTATTTAGTTTAGGACGTTGTTTAATTTCAGGAAAACAAAAATATTAATAACACAGTCGTTTTTAATACCCCGATAAAACAGCTTCTATGTAACTTAAATTGTTTAATGCTGTGATGATGATTGCAACCAATACTTAACGTTAATAAGTTTACAGAAGGTACTTAAAAACCATAAACGGGATTATTTGCAAACATTTACTGTCCAGCTAGTCTTTGCTTTTATTAACAAGTCTAAAATTGTATCATAGCAAGAAGATTTTTTTTTACCTAATAGGGCCAGTTTTGTGAAATAAATGCACATTATTTTAATGACGTCTTTACCTTCTATCATCAAGAAGGATAGTATAAAAATGCATTAATAACAGAAAAATAAACCTTTCTGCTGTACACGTTGTTTTACGTCACAAGCGTCTGCATAACTCATTTTCAGCATACCAGTTTAATAATAATGTCATGAGACTTGAAGCCACACCTAAAAACGACGCCACAACAAGAGCGCTGTCTGCTGTAACTAATGGCCTTTGCCTCGTTTTTATCAACGAGAACGAGCGTCTAATTATGAGCAGCTGATTTATTACACCCCATTATACATTGCGGAGTCTACGGGTAGAATATTACAGTTTCGTGTTTGAACTTTGATGACCTAAAAAGGAATATTGAGTAGGTTTGCGTAAACTAATGCAAAGAGGTGTAATAGGAAAGTTAAAGTGCCTAAACAAGTTTTTAGTTATAATATGTACTTAACACAATCTGTTTCCAACCATACACTTATGAATGGTTTTAACGGGATCAGCAGATATTTTGTATTTGTAATGCTGATGATGTGTGTGCGTAGCTTGGCAAATGTTTAGAAAGGTATATCATGGTTTAATAAAATATATTTACCTAAACAATTTTAAAGTACTTTTAGTATAATTATTACTAGGTGAAACCCGGCAAAATCGAGGGTACACCCTACTCTCGAGGTTTCTCGAAAATCTTTCTTACTGCGATAAATAGAGTGAAGTTATTAAAATATACTTTAAATAAAGAGAGAGTAAACATAATTATTACGATTTAGTAACCTACAAAATTGGTTAACATATGGGAAAATAAGTTGTCATTCATGGTCTGTCATCTGACGTAGGGAGTCAATACTACTGATACTGGTTCTGTCTGCTTTAGGGAAATCTTTCGGGTCGTATTTGGATCGTATCAGTAAATCGACATTTTTGGTCATAACACAGAATTTTGATCAGTGGGAGGGAGATCAATTTTTTTTTATATTTGATCAAAATAGCTGTTTCTCCAAAAAGCAATGACAGTCTTACACTTACTTCGAAGTGCAATTTGTTTTCCTTCTCTTGCTACGCCAGCTTTCATATACTTCTTTGTTAATTGATTAACCTCTGGAATTATTCTATTAATTTCTTTCCTGTTTAAAATAGCGTTATCAGTTTGGAAGAATAAGTACCGATTGATATGGTACTTGCATAACATTACGGTGTCATAATAGTCCTCGATCTATTGCATTTGGATTTTATAAAAGTACATAATGCTAGAAAAAATAAAGGTAATTTATATTATAAGAATACAATTTAATTAATGCAAGCCAAATAAATAAAACATTACATTTAAGCACTGAGTTTTGTGTACGACTTTAAAACAAAGCAAACTTTAACAGAAAAATTTAATTTTTTTAATAATTCTTATTATTCTTCTGTGCCTTTTTATGACTTTAAATGCCAATTATTAGTGAGTCATCGGGGTTGTATACCAATATTCTAACCTTAAAACTGGTAATCAAGTAGGCCTAACTACCTACTAAAATAATATAATACGTTAATCTGGATTAAGAATACTAATCTTGCTATTGTCACCAATACTTATTTTTTTACAGTTTCCCACTCTTGTAATGTTACTACCCATTGACAAAGGTTATTTGCTGTATTAAACGTAGCCTAACTTACGTCAATACCACATCGATAAACTCAACGAGCCTGTTAAACTATCTAACTAGAGCTAGAGTTAATTGAAGTTGAAAAAAACTTTACTTGACCAATGTTTCTCGTTTTACCTATTCAAACCATTTCAATCCCTACATAACATAAGATCTCGCTGTTTCAGGAGAGTCGTCCATTGTGTCAATAGGAGAGAGTCCCACGATCGCCAGACCGCCACCTCGGCCCATATCCATGTCTGGGGGAGGCAGCAGGTACGCCGAGCCGCCAAGGGTCGTGGAACGACCCTACTTCGATGACGTGGGTCCTAGGAACGTCACAGCTGTGGTTGGTCAAGCCATCACTCTCAACTGTCGAGTAAAACATCTTGGAGACAGAACTGTAAGTGTTTATATTATACAGTGAATGTTATTGAATACTTGTGATGGTTAAATATGGTCATTGTAATATATTATATTCCAACGATAAAAACTCGTACAGAATAAGCTTATGTACCAACGAAAATGAAGAGATAAATCCCAGATTTTCCCAAGGATGATTAACTTTATAACTATTGTTATATTGCATAACAGCTTTTCCTGAGTTTTAAGAACAAACTATTGTTGCAAAGTTTACTAAACTCGTAATAATATAGACTGATTGGGATCCGATTCATCTGAATTCTCGAACTAGCAGATAAATGTAGTTAACCTAACATTCGTTGAAGTATAGTAAACAAGCTTGCAGCATACACAAAGGTAGTTAACCAATGTGACATCGAATTGATAAATATCTGCTACCTCTTGAAAAACACTCTCTAAATTGCAGTGTTTTTTTTTTTTTTACTATACCAATAAATTTGTGATATACAGCATATAGTATTTACTACCTGTTACACTGTTTTAGCAACAGCGATTTGAAATTCAACCCTTTTCCAGCATAATGAAACGCTTGTGTACATAAATGTATATAAATTTCGTATACTTTTATATACGTCAGCAAAAAGGTCATTTTAAAACATGCTCAACGTGTTAAAATCAGCTCTTTACTCCCAAGGCATATAGAGTAAAAACCCTTTTAGATCCTTGGGAGTAAACGTCCGCTGTTGTTAATTTAGATTATGGGAAATGACATGAGTAAAAATTATGTATAGATTGATTTAATCAGTTGTAGCGTATTGTTGAATTTTTCTCAATAGTTTTACATAGAAATGTATGCACACTAACACCTTCGTAATAGACGACGTAATTTATTTCCTGTGCATCGTTGCTTCGGTCACGAAATTCGAGCTTTGGTGGAGAAGATAAAGATTACATCCCAGTGATGAAATATACAACTTTTATCACACAAATATCATTCAATCTGTTAGATAAACTATGGGATTAGTTTTTCAAACTAACTATTACTTTTAAACCATCGAATATTTCCAGGTGTCCTGGATGAGAAAGCGAGACCTCCACATCCTGACCAGTAACATCTTCACGTACACTGGTGACGGGAGGTTCGGAGTGGTTCACCCTGAAGCCAGTGACGAGTGGAACCTCAGGGTCGAGTACGTCCAGAAGAGGGACGCAGGGATATACGAGTGTCAAGTGAACACGGAGCCCAAGATTAGCTTGCCTATCATGCTCAATGTGGAAGGTCAGTATTGTCATGGGCTAGGAACCACGGTGAACAATTAGGTTCCTTCTATAGTTTTTTTAGAGTAGCAGACTATCATAGTGTGACTAAACAATAATTAATAATTCAAGACCTATTTTCAAATGATACATGTAGGGCCTACCCTGAAAAATAAATGTATTTGGTACGATACGTATGATTTTTCTCAGTTCAATTAGTGGAACATTAAATATTATTGGCTTATGCAAACTTATCTAAAATGTCATAAAATTAAATAGTGTTTATTCAATTAGTCTTTTTATTTTTAGATTGTTTTTATGGTTTTGAAATTCCAAGCAAGCAAGATCCTTAGTAGTAGGCAATGATCTGTTACTGTATTTAGGTTATGAATTTGTAATATGGTACTGTATCAAGCTATGATATATTACAATGTTCAATGATAAGCATCTTAAACCTCACTAATATTTTTTTAGTGACCTATCACTATCAATATGTTTAACACAACTTACTTTACCATGAGGGAGTCGATTGCCATTTTTTTACTCTCCTAATTTAATGTAACTTTTTGGGTAGGTGCAGCTATATAATATAATATATAAATTAAAAGTAATGTAGCCTATAAATTAACAAAATTACTATATTTCTATTTTGAAAGGTAGGTTACTAGTGTGATATGTAGCTTAAACCCAGACTATGCGGTATCTAGCACTTCTGTCACGAGTAGAAAGTAGATGATTGTATAAAACTGAAACACATTTTCCAGAAGCGAAATACATTTGGATGTACGCTTAGCATTAACGCATGACATCCAGTCTGCGTACCCCTTTTTCATTTGTCTCAACCCTCTTTTGATTTACTGATTGTTCTTGTGTTCAGAGTCTATTCCCGGACCTCAGGCACCAAAACAGGGCCCCGCAATCTCCAAACAAGGTTGTCCTTACTCTTTCTATCTCACTCTTTCATATTTCTTTCACAATATTTCGTCTTCTTCCTGGATCGCATGGCTTCTTTCTAGCTTCTGCAGACTAGCATGTAGTGTATCCTATGCATTGGATATTTTCTTTTCAATTTATTTATGTATTTTTTCGATTACTAGTGCTTGGCAGCGATTTTCGCTTTAGTTTGTCAAAGCTTTAAATCGTACGATTACTATGAGGTACACATAGCTATGGCAATTTTGTATAGCATATAATTAGTTGACTAAAGTTTAATTAGAAAACGTGCAATATGTGTAAGTATACAAGTAAACAAAAGACATTCAAACGAAATCGTATGTCTATAGAATTTATCGACAGCAGGATAGATGCCTCCCTAAGTTGTCATTAGCTGTATGTGATATTAATTAACAGCTGTGTCTAAGGAATATGTCGGTCTTAGTCAATAAAAAGACTACAAGATCGCGCCACTCATCCTAAACTCTTCTCCTGTCATACTTGGCTTAAAATACCTACTTTGAATAGTCGCCATTCAATGAAAAGTATTAAAATATTAAAGATAATAAACCAAGAGTGAAAGGTCTATCAACAATTCGATATAAATTACTTGGTTTAAATGATAATATATTTGCTAAACAGGTCTGAGATATGGTTGACTTTCAAACACTAACTGAATCCTTTTCATCATTTACATCGTTTAGAAAACACTTCGAGGAATGGAATGCATTTTTTAGAATAGGCCTTAATCTTTTGATTTATGCAATGTATGTGTAAATTTACTTGTTTTACATACAGGGTGGTAAAAAAACTCAGACATTTTAACATGAATTTTTTTACTTTAACTACATGGTATTTATTAAAACTCAATATGGCCACCGTTTAAGGCTCTGCCGGCGTTACCCATGCAATGTTAATTCCATCCCCGAGAAATGCAGCAAAGGTGTGCGATGTGCTAAATTTTGATTTATCGCCAACAGAGCATTACAAGTGGGCATATTAAGATGTATTGAATATCATAAAATACTTTTAGATTTTTTTTTATTTGTTCATATGTAAAATACCATGTAGTTAATCATTTTTAAATAAAGATTTATGTTACAATGTGTCAGTTTCTTTCGGAGTAACTTCTAAAAAGGCCTGAATTTGATAAACATCAAAAATGAATAACAATAAAAACTTAACAAGAGTATGGTAACGTTATAAGTATATCTGCAAGTAACGCTGTAAAGTTATTTATAAATATTTTGTTTAACAAATTGGAATATAAAATTGAGCATTATCTTAATTTTGATATTACAAGTGGTGTAAACTATTGGCTTGTAATCATGTGACTTCAAACTAAGATTTTTGATCAATCATATTGTGTAGCCATTATTTGCTGTAAAGTTTTGATGATGCAGTTACAGATATGTACGCTATGACTAAGTCACTAAATCAAGTTAATAGTATTTACACTCATCTCTCTATGTGATTCGTTTTGATACTCTTGTTACAAAGTGATGTGCATTATAAAGCTTGAAGTTGTATAAGGGCTTAATTATTGGTTAACTCGATTACAGGAGTTAAAGGTACAAATCGTAAAAAAATCAGATAATTTTAATTTGTTTTATCAAATTAATATAATAAATGTATTTTTCGCGGATAATCATAACATAGAATAAACGCTAAGATAAAGCTTTGGAGATAGTTTATTTCCTATTTTATGTATTTATTCATTTTACTAGGTCCAATAAAATAAACTGGCCATGAAATACAATTGTTACATGACCTAAGAAATAATATAAAAATGCAATCCAAACAACACTTCCTACTACCAAATTTTGTTAATCCAAATCCATTCTAGGAAAATTTAATACCAGATAAATTTTCAAGATTTGTTTTTTGGTTTTAAAATTTCCAATTTATCCTTTAATCTCTGGAATAGACTGATATTAAGGTTTACAATGAGTATAGTCTAGAAAACAAATAACTAACTAATTATCAAGAACTTAAGTTTTGAAGTGATTGTTTTACTTTCTTAATACGTTTATTGATATCCAAAATTGTTTTATAGCACCGTAAGCAAACACTTTTTTCGCCATTTGATCTCATTAAAACGTGTCTTTTATCAATGTTTCTCATACAAGTATAATAAATGGGCATTTTTAAATTAAGAGGTAACTTAAAATTTGTATTGTTATAATTTGAAAATAACACTATAGAAATAATTACTATATACAATTTAAAATAACTAGTTAAATTGTCTTTTTAAAATATTAGGCCCTACACTATTAATATAATATTTTTTTTTTGTAACAACATTTATATTTTTATAGTTTTAAATTATTTACTCTAGACTTGGAATTTATTCTATTTTTATTTTCTGAATCATTATTGCAGCTGTAAGCAACTAAATTTATATTAAATGTTTGCAAATTAATAAAACCTTAAGTATAATACCTTGAGTATAATAAAAGTTCATTACGTCTACAAATACAAATATTGCCGATTCGGCAAATACGTAAAGATGGACCAAATGCTAGCTTTTTACTCCATCAGCAACAAATCATTTGATAGAAGAAGCTTATTTTGTCCCTGACTCAGTTATACTTTATCAACAAAACATAATTACCGAAGCAATTCGATTTGATTTGTAGCTATACGGTGTAATGGTTGCACCCCAATTAACTATAAATCAAACAGGGGATTACCGAATGGTAATTTACTTTATGGTTATTAACTTTGCTTGTTTATTACATATATTGTTTATCAGGTTTGGTCCACATCAGGTAAATGGAACTACAACATTAACTATTCGATCAGTAATTTACTGCTATAAAATGCGATTATAAACTTAAGTCCAGCATTGGGATTTTCGGTCATTTTCTTTCACAGTATGATTAAAGATTTTTACTAGAAGTCGGATAAAAGATAGTTATAATTTTTTTTTGTTATACAATAAATTCGTTCCTACAAAAGAAACATTAATATTTAAATTACCATTATATAAGATTTTTATTAATACTATTCACTTAAACATATTACATTCTTATTAAAGTATAGTATAATGTCCATGAAATATAAATAATCCGTAGAGCATTTTCTTTTAAGTGTTTTCCTTCATACTGGATTGGTGTCATAAGAAAGATTAGTTTTACGTTTACGTGAAAATGAAAAAAAAAACCTATACCATGAAATATACCATTTAATTACATATGACAAGGTTTAAAAATGATAAGTCGGAATAGCTTTTTATTATCAAACCTTTAGGATAATGTAATCAATCCAAAAGTTGAATAGCCCTAGGACAATTGCGGTGGACACTTCTAACTTTAATCATTATTAGCATACCCTTATCTAAATAATGCGACAAGTAGTAAACAAACAATAGAAACAAGTCTTACATAGCCTACAACCACTACGTAATACGTACAACATTACCAGTAATACGACATTTCAAAACCTTTTATTTACGGATTTGTTTATTTGTAAATCAAATATGACACCAACCACATAGGAGTAAGGTACAGAGAAAACATTCAATGGTACACTTCGTGGTGTCTAGGGAAAAGTCCCGTGTTCTCTGTGCAATGGATTTGTAATTTCATTAATTAGTGTTATAGAATTAAAATAATCAACAACAGAATATATTTAATGCAAGCCAACTCGTACTATTTAAATCTATTTGTATGAACAGATTTGTGCAGTAGACTTCTCTGATCGGATTTTTGAAATATACAAACTTGATGACAAGCAATCAAAATTGATAAGCTTTGACATCCGATTGACTTTAAAACATTTCAGAATATAAGTAATGTATTCACATTACATCTAACAAATGCAAAATAAGACCAACATTTTATAAGTTAGCTCCTAATCTAATTTGCATCTTGACTGCATGATAGGCTAACCTATTGGTTATTTTAAAGCGGCTGGTGTTGCAGCGGCCCAAGCGAACATTTGGGGTCCCGAGGAAGTCTACGTCAAGAAGGGCTCCACCATCAGTCTCACTTGCTCCGTCAACATCCACTCGACACCGCCCGGCTCGGTCCTCTGGTACCAGGGCGTTTCCGTGGTGGACTTTGACTCTCCCCGAGGGGGCATCTCCCTGGAGACGGAGAAGACGGAGGCTGGGACGACCAGTAAACTGTTGGTCACCAAGGCAGCTCTAACAGACTCTGGAAACTACACGTGTGTGCCGTCCAACGCCAACCCAGCCAGTGTATACGTGCACGTGCTCAATGGTTGGTAGATTAAATTCATATTTTGAACCTTTTTTCGTAAAAAAAAAATAAAACAAATCCTGGGTGGTTGAATGTAATGAAACGTAAACTTGACACTCATTTTAATTTTAAACCATAGATGATGTTAGGTAAAACTGGACGTACTAAATATTTAATCGGTTCTACCTCACATTAAACTGTATGCACTCATTATTTATCCACATTATATATTTGGCTCTGAGATGACTTTTGCAATAACATATTATTGTATTGCAACCAATGCCTTTTGTCTACTCGTTAAGGACACAATCCCTAGGCCTAGTCCTAAGTAATGATTAAAATGGTTCTAGACTGTAACCTAGAACTTAGGTTGAAAGAATATTATTGACAGTTTTATTAAAACTAAAGTTTGAACCAAATTTTCCTTTTATCTTCACATTATAAGACATATATACAAATTTAGATTTGTTCATGTAGGTAACAACATCAGAAGTATTTTCAAGGTGAAACACAAAAGGGATGTATGCTTTTTTCATTACGTCAACTGGCTATCCTTCACACTGCTTATTGAAGATATGGATTCCAAAAAACGAATTTGTTTTTATAAAAGTCATCTCGTTCTTTTAAGACTCCCCAAGTATTTGATCGTATGAAATAATAGCAAAGGTTTTAGGGGATGATTTATACATTTGTTAAAACATTTCCAAAGCTCATAGGACTATGCAACTCTATTACTATTAAAACAAAGATGTTGATCTCCTTTAAGAAATCTTAGTTGGTAAACTAAACAGTAAAAATATAATTCAAGTGGATAGTTAGATAAATTCGTTATTTACAAGACGAAAATATGGTTTGGATTCCACTATAAACTGTGGGTCCTTAGTTGGCATTGGCTGTATGGGCTATTAATCAACAACTGCGACTAAGGAACATGTCAGCCTTAGTCAATACCAAGACTATGCGATCGTGTCACTCATCCTACACTCATATCTATTCATACTTGGCTTAAAATACCTATCTTTGTATGGTCACCATTTAAGATTAAATTATATTTAATGTACATATGGATGAATACTCCCCAAATATCGCTTGGTTTACAGCTACAACCTTAATATAAACTGTTCACTATTTTAAATTTGATCCGTTACAAGTTATGTTGTCGTGTTTTTCAGGAGAGCACCCAGCAGCTATGCAGCATGGCGGTACAAGTCACGTGATCAGCTCGACATTACCAGTCCTAGTGACATTCTTTGTAACCCTTCTGAGGTGATCCGATGGATTCTTAGTGTAAAGCGAGTATTCAAGTACAAGCAGGACTGTGGGAACAGACGATAGAACACTTAAATATTGTGAGGCCTAACACTTATCAGGAATCCGAAGAATACCATGTGGTTGTGCATTTTGTCAAGTATATAAGTTGTTTTTATACATTTTAAGACGTTGTGTACAAAACCGGGTTTATCACAATTTCAAAGTAAAAAGTTTGGTTAACTCTTATTCAAGGAGTTGAGTAAGACACAAATTAAATGAATTTAATACTATTTTCACAATTTTTAGGTTCAGTTATACTTTTATGATACAATCGAGTTTTGTTTTATATCTAATACATCCAATCAATATTCAAAATCGTTTATTTATTATTACTACCTGTAATATTACAACACATTTAGATTGATTCAGGGTAATCATGGTCTTATGTTCATTTGCGAATTTGAAAGAGTTCGTTACTGTTATAGCTTAGACTGTCAAGACTAAAGGCAACCGTTAAAAAGATTTTTGACTGATGATGTAAAAACTGATGAACATGTATAGAGTAAATTACAAATAACGTAATTGTAGGTATTTTACAACTAGATTATCATGAAGGCTTTCAAAGTCGAGTGTAAATATTGTACATACATTCCTTGCAATACATGTGATAATATGTTTATTATTGTTTTTAAAGTAAAGTTTAGTTATTACTAATTGTAACGTTATGTAATAACTACTTCATGTACAAATTTATCTTAACATTTATTCCAAGATTATAAATAGTTATAGAGATTCTCAGAGATAAAGTATAACTGGTTTGGACGGTGGTATTTATTTATTTATCCCTTTTAACTTCATTTTATAACAGTACACCAAAAAAGATATAACAAGTACAATACAATAGCTGAAGACACTCACCTTTATGTTAAACTAATTTATCCATGTAAAATATTTAAGCAGACCTTAGGCAAATGAAAATTATTATTTTAATAATTTTCTTTAATTGTGGTATAGGTATGCTAACTATGTGGTTTGGTAGAAAATTAAATATATGTAACTTTGTTGAAAATTTAATAGTTAAAGTATAATATACAGCATCTATATTGAACAGATATTTTTTTTTCAAGAAAGTATGGAATATGGACTTTATAAGCACATAAATATGAAATATTGTTTAATAAATTCTAACTCTAACTTTAATAAACAGCACTTGACACTTAAAGGATATGTAAGCAGTATACACGGTGATATACTTTATGGAATGGGCAAACAGCATAATTAACAAATGAATGTTCATACCGTTAAAGATTTAATTGTTTATTTGGAATGAGGTAAAAAAAAATAGTTTACAAAAACAACAAAGCTGTATGACCAGTGTAAGTTATGTCATGTTATACTTTTGATTTAACAAAATATATGTTTTCAATTATAAATAAAACCCCATAAGAATATATAATTTCTAAAGACAAACTTAATTCTATGAATATTTTATTTTGTAGCAATAAATGATTAAAATAATAATTTTTTGTACGGAAAACAGCTCTTACAAACATGAAGAACAGTTGAGTAAGCTCCTAAACACTCAGTGGAAGTGCCGTATATTTGCCGTGATTTGTGCCAATACTTGCCAGATAATTTATGAACGAACGATATATCGTGGCTGCCGATAGTTTAAAGCTGCACATATCATAGAAGAACTCTCTCAAAATAGGACAATACATTATCTAACACAGCCTGGCTGTGATTGGTGATGTTTATCAATCGATACAGATTGCTGTTCATGCCTTTTTTCCAAGAGTGCTAAAAAGTAGTGTTAATTTTAGCATTTTAGGCGATATCCATTTTAATACATTTTACACCCAAATATTTGAAGAAGATTGTCTTACATTCTTAGCTGTAACACAAGTTTTTGTGTACATATAGATGTCCAATTATAGATCTGTAAAAATTTATCAAATATTTAGCAGAGTTTTGGATTTGTTTTGATAAGTAGTAAATACAATAACAAACGGAGTAATTGGTTGACAAAAGTAACTTGAAAAGATACAATTTCAAGATGAAGTAACGTCTGTATGTCATAAAAGTGTTTTTGTTCACAATGCTTTTGCATGCATTGATTAGGCAAAAGCTTGGGTTGGACAAACATTGTTTGTATGGTATATTAAAAATCCCCGTAGACTGAGCTGTCACTACATTGCGGACCCTATGTTTGGGAATACACAATTTTATTTTATTTTATTAGGCATTATGGACGAAATATACTGTGTGCAAGACACAAATGGATAAAAACTAATAACAACACATACACATTTATGAAGAGGTATAGACTAACACAGACAAAGATATGCATAAGTTTCTTCCAACTAATTGCATGTATTCAATTATAAAAAAAAATTTAGAAATAGTATATTTAAGAGCTAGTGCCACGTAACTGATTATAAAAAAAACCTTTTAGTGAAATAAAATGTAAGTTGTAAAAAAAAACATTTCATATGGTTTATGTTTGTCTCGTGAGAAAATTGAACTTTTTAGTAGTATTTCCAAAGGAACACTACAAGATTTACAACAAAGGATTTTTTTTCTCCAACCAAAAAAAGTATTTGCTATTGGTTAGCTATGGAGTAGCTAACATTTTTGTTTACCTTGCAATTTCGCATTTATTTCCATGTCACGTGTTATAGGTTCTTACATATCGTATACAGTACATAGCACAAAAAACATCATTCGTTCAGAATTAGTTTCCAGTAATTTTAAGTCATTCTATATAGTAAATTCTTAGACTTTACTTCCGTTTTACGAAAATTATAATTTTGGAGTTCCTAAATAATACATTGAATTAAGGTGTCAACTGCGTGGGATAAATAGAATAAAACGATTTTTATAAGCTTCTGCTTGCTGTGTAATATGTGGCAGGTTACTTTCATTGTGTGTATGTAAAGAAAAAAAGTTGTAATGACATTAAGTGTTTTGGCATTGGTAATTCTGTATCCACAAAATCTTAATTAAATTGGACAGTTATTAAATTATACATTCTATAAAGGCTAACAAGTTATTCTCTATGTTGTAATTCACAACAACGGCCATAACCCTATGAGATTAGTTATTTAAGAAAACAAATTCTTTTAAAAATTGAAAACAATTGAAAAATATTTTACTGCTATAAAGTGTACATATTTCACTCTCATATTGGCAAACATGGTACATGTCCAATCAGCAGAACACCAAATCCACATTTGTCGACGAACAGGATATTGGTGTAGGATTTATGCCACAGCATTTAGTTAAACCAAGCTCCTCTACCATTTTATTTCATTTTCCTTTCCGTTTTGGAATTATACATTCGGCTGATGGTTAAACATTTCTAAGTTTTTTTTTTATCATATGTATATATTAATGATATTTATTTTTCTAACAAACCAACAATTTACCTACGGACCTATTTACCTATTGATATTTCTAATAGCCATAAAATATCACGGATAACTTTCAAAAATATTTGTTCTTATAAATACTGTATCGGCATCTTAAAGTTTTGAAAATGTTAGTAAAAATTTACTTTAGTCCAGTCGATGTATTGTCATACTTAAATAGTATTTAAACATATTGCAATAATTATAACAGTGTAATGGGAAAAATCTAATTTTTAAATTAGAAATTGTAGTTTAGGTTTACTTTGTTCATATAATCTTGTATTCCTTGGGTCTGCGATAAAAACGTTTCTTTTTTCCGCATCTTTACTCAACTAAGAAAACAATAACCATCCCCATGGATACGAAATATATTTAAAACAAATAATAAAATTGCTTTTATACTTAAGTTTGTTATCACCACATATTGCTAGTTATCTCTGAATGTTTAGGCTATTTACCTGATATTATTAGGTCTATTGTTTTGTAATATGTCTTACAATAACTATAAAATTACTTAAATCATGAGAATACGCGTTTTATCCAGTAAATAATCAAAAGAACATTGCAAATTACTGAACTGTGATAATTATCATTCTATTATCCTATGATTAATCCATCGATATATAACTACAGTTATAGTACTACAGTAGTTATATATCGATGGATTAATCTCAATTTTATCACAGCTAGATTTCAAACGAGATCAATTTTTATTTGATTTTTCAAAAGTTTTTCCGGAATGAATTTTGGGCAGAACTGCTAGTTGTATATAAAAACAATGCTTTATAACATTTTATCAACTCAAGGAAGCAAGCAAGCTAAGGTGTGTATTTCCTCTAGAAAAAGTAAATTGTTTACGTTGTAATTAGCTTTGTAAGCGTCTCTAATATTCTCGGATCTCACAGGTTTTGCTTTAATAGCTTTGCTCTAATTAGAGGCATCAAGATTATCAAAAGACTTTGCATCCGTTGCCTTCCATTACCAGCGTCTTGTAGAACAGTTTATTTCACCAAGGTTTTCTTAAATTATTTTCTTTAGTAAATATAAACTTTACTTTAACTACTTGAGAAAATATTTACCCAATAAGATTTCTTGTACTCTCATATCTTTTTATTTTTCAATAGTAAATTATTAATACATTAATATGAAAAATATCCTATATTATAAAAATGACAAATTTGCTGAGAAAAGACTTTGAACACTATTTGCTGACAAGAAATTAAGTAGTCGGTACTGAAAAGCTGTATACCGGCTCAAATCAATTATTTTGTGAATCAGTATATTAAAGGACCAAAATACATTCGAGGCGTAGTGTTAATATTTTACGCTGGTTTTAGTAAAACAGAATTAATACAAAATAAACAAGAAGAAATAATTTTTCTAATCAGGCTGATTTCTACTTTTGCGATAGTTCCTTTATGCAGTTGGGAAACTGATGGTATTCTGCAGCGATCTACGTTTTGACGAGAACATCAAATCTATTGCTAACAAGGTGAGCAGGCTGATTAGTTTAGGAAAGTAAGAATAACCCAACTGCATTGACATGTTTGGGTTGTGCAATAGTGAGGCAGTGTCTGGAGTATGCTTTCCCATTCGGTCTCCGTATACAATGGTCTTAAAGCGATCCAAAGAAGATTTTTTAAGCTGTTAGGAGTGCGTCAGGGATTGCGCTATCAGGTGGTGCAAACTGATGTACTGACAGAGAAGCTAAAAAAAAACCAGCCATTTTGTATTAGGCGCAGGATTTCCGATGTTAGTTTCTTGTACAATCTCTTGAGGGGGGCAAGTGGGGGGGAGGGATATAAGTGCTGTCCAGATCTGCTATCAGAAATATACATTAGAACACCAACTTATGGTCCAGGGGCCTATTCGGCCGTCGCTTCACAGGCACTGCATATGACTTTCATAGACCTCTAGAAAATATCCTCAGGCTAGGCAACTGTGTTTCTCGTATTCACACTTTATTGCTGACTTCATTGAGACTTCATTGCTGACAGCTATCCCTCCTTAAGGAAGCAACCTAGGTGGAGATGTTGACTTGCTTAGCCGCTCAAGCATTGAACTTGTTGGTAGCCTTTTAGTACATGTTGGCACATTGATTATGTATTGTTGTTATTGTATATATTGCTATATCCATCTATCGTTATACTCATTCCTTATTAAACTTATTATTGTTATATTTGTTCCTTGTTCAATTAATTATCTGTTTTATATTATCTATTGTTATTTTATTGAGCTACCAAATGGATTATTAAGAACTTTTTTGTCACAACTGATTTCAAATTGTATCATAGATATAGGATATACATGCTAGATACTAATTTGTCATCTTTTTCTAATCTTTCTTTATCTTATTAATTGGCTTAAGCTGTTGCCATGTAAATAAAATCAAGTAAAGTAAATGTAGCCTTC